CGGCCGGGGCCGTCGGCCGCCGCGGCCGCCCGTAGAGGGTCTTCTTTATCCTCTTGATGCCCAGGTGGGCGATTTCTAGCACGTTGAGGAAGAGGGAGACCGCGGCAATACTGTTCATGAAAACCATAAAGATGGTCTTCTCTGTGGGTCTGGATACAAAACAATCCACCGTGTTAGGGCAAGGGGGCCGAGTGCATTTGTAAAGGGGGGACATGTGAAACCCGTATAAAAGGTACTGACCTATCATAAAACCCACTTCGACCACTGACCGGGTCAGGATATGTAGGACATAGGTGCGCAGCAGAGACCCTCTCAGGGGTGCCTTATTCACTTTCTTCTGCTCTTCGAGCTTCCGTAATTCCCTCTCCACTCTCCTGTGCTCCTCAGGCATGGGCTCAAGGTCTTCCAGCTGGGCCCTCAGGTGGGCCTTTTTCTTCTGTCGTTCTTTCTCAAGAGCCCTTAGCCTGTAGAGCGCGTGGCCCATGTAAACAAGAGATGGAGAAGAGACAAATATGACTTGCAGTACCCAATATCTGATCAAAGAGATGGGGAAGGCTTTGTCATAACAGATATTGCTGCAGCCAGGTTGCTCTGTGTTGCAGATGAACTCAGACTGCTCGTCATCCCAGACATCTTCGGCAGCCACTCCCAGCACCAGCATCCGGAATATAAACAGGATTGTGAGCCAGATTTTGCCAACAATGGTGGAGTGGATGTGCACTTCTTCAAGGATGCTGCCCAATAAGTTCCAGTCCCCCATGGTCAGAGGTTCATATCTGAAATACAAACCTCTGTTTTATTTTAATACCCCACTGGCATCCTTTAGGAAATGGCCCTTCTTAGTATTTCTTTTTAATAATGGTGTTTAATATATATTCTGATAGCACAAGTGATCTTAGAAGTAAGTTCCTCACTATTTTCCATTTAATGGGTTGTTAAATGAATACAGACATTATGGTTACTGCTGAAGCATGCAAATGTGAGATGTGTATTTTAAACTTGGAGAGAGACTGATTTCAGCCGTAAGTCCCAGTACTTCTTAACTGCCTACAGTTTAACAGTATTTTCTTCCCACTGGGTAAGAAGTCAAAAATGTTTTTTTTTTTCCACTTTGCAAACCTATTGCCAACTATAGTTTAATTCTACACCCACTCCTTTGTGATGCCTGTAAGTTTGGCATGACTTTGGGTATAAAATAACTAGAGTAAGGTATAATACTTATGGATTTTGTTTCTGTGACAAAGTTTTGAGATGCATATGACTGTGATAGACAATTTTTCATTTTGTACCTTTTTAGAGCCATCCATCCAGTGTTTTCCAATCATCCAAGAGTAAAAAATCGCAGGTTTCTCACTTGGATTCCAAAACTATTAATACATAACTAATTTACACATAACTAACTATACATGTATGAATAGTCTCAGTTCTCAAACATTCATATCCTAAGAGTGCTTGTAAGGTTAATGTTTTGAATTTTATTAGTTTATTCATTTAAAGTCTTACTTAAGTCACCAAGAATTTGACTTAATTATAAATTAATTATAAATATATAATGAATTATAAATTTCAAGAAGATAAATAAAAGGGAACACCCAATGGAGATTTTTAGCTGTGAGTGTGAGATGACCTGCTTTACCGCCTCTTGCCCAGAAGCTTTGATTCATCAGCAAATAGATCCACGTTCTGCTGCAAGATGCTTGAATTCCATGGTACTCCTAAACCACTTCTCGGGAAACTATTCAAGAGTTTCAGGTAATCTGGGAAATTGAGCTCTAAGGTATTTGTCTGCTTATCTGTAAAAGCACAGTACATTGTGCTGTGCTCCTAGAATTTCTGCTAATACGGCAACAAAATACTGAAAGCTGCTTGAATCGGATCTACGTGAGGGATCTCACTTAATTTTTTTTAGGTTATCATGCTTTCAGGAGGTCCAAAATTCCACTGAGCTACAAGCCTTAGTAAAGTGCCGGGTCTAAGCTTTTTAAGAGCAGTTGTTGCAGTGCCCACAATCTTACAGGAATTTAATTGATAGTACAGCTGGTGATATCACCATTATCAATATATCAATGTATCTTGGCTGCAGTTTATGATATGATACCATACAGCATGATTCTGCTTGGAGACTGTGTTTATCCACACCACAAGTAAAGATTTTCAATTGTAACCAACAGTGCAGTCATTCTCTGCACATGTGCCCCACGTTCCTTATTATTACATTTCTTTTTTTCCTGAAAATTTGAATCTTCACAGTGAACTTCCCTTTTGCTCAAGGAAATTGTTCCAGAAACCTAACTATTCTAGCAATTTCTTAGCTGCTATGATACATCTGGAAATCTTTTCTCACTCTGTCCCTCCCACATATATCACCAAAATAAGATACTTTAAAAAAAAAAAAATCAGCAAGAATTATTGCAGTCGATTTTCCTCATCTTTAAGGAACATTGTCAGATATTTCTTCTAACATTATACAGATTTCATTCAGAGCAGATATCAGATTTTGCAGCTTCATGGGTTGAAGGGTATAAAAGTGTTCATATGTCAAAATGTTTGCTAGAGAATGTCACAGCTGAAGCTCGTAATGTTGGACCTGTTTTGCAGAACTCGCAAGTGAGGATACAGAACCTGTGTACAAAACAACTCGTCTTCAGTGAGGCGGGAAGTAGAGCTTCATGCAGAGCAAGCGTCCAGGCCCAAAGCACTCAAGAGGTCGAGGACTAGTGGGTGCTACTTGCTGGTTGCTGTGTATCGCTTCCCCTGAAAGGTGACTGCGTGACAGCAAAGCACAGCAGTTACAGAGAGCAGCCTTGGGTGTCTCTGCTCCTCGCGAGTGGCTGATCCCTCGCTGAGACTGATCGATGCAGGAAAAAAGCCCAAGTGAGGTGCTAAAGTATAAATGCAGGAATAAAAGGGAAAGGAGACCTGTTTTCATCCCGAAGTTGAAAAGACAGCCTCTTTCTAGCACTAGGAATTACCATGGCCCATTTTGGAAGGGCAGGTTAATGATATCAATTCAGGGTAAGTGAGGACAAGAAGAGGGGTATAAACATACTGTTCTGACTCTACAGAATTGTTTAGTAGACACGTTCAGCATTTAAACAATCCTGCTTTCCTTTGTAACTGCCAGTAGGAGAGAGGAATTAGAGGAGTAGTGTAACTCATGCTTTTAAGTGAGTTCATTAAATGAGAACACTTCCCTTCAAATCTGCCCTGGTATGCATATTTATATGGTGAAAGTTCTCTATAGCTGTGTAAGTCATAGTTTCAAAGAAACGACAAAAACAAAACAAAACAAAACAAAACCTCTTTGCAAACTGGCTATAGCAATGCGCTTCCAGCAGTAATTTTCCAGCTTTCTTTTCCTCTGGTCTTAGTTGAGCTCTGTATAACAGAGTAATCTTGAATATCAGTGATACCATTAATTCTAGTCTGACAAAAGGTACAGTTTCTAGTATAGATTGTACATAGCTGTGACATTTCTCTTTATACTGACTACATTTGTGTATTTCTCTATGTTAATTTAAACATTAAACATTCATGAATGTAATCAGTAAGAATCAGATGGACGTTCACCATTTCTATTGGAGGAAGTTTCTTTATTTCTTGTTTTTGTTACTTCTTTGTATCTTTATTTTTTTAAATTTTGCTTGATCCTTTTCCACAATTCAAATCACTTCTATATTAAATTTGTCCCAGAGTTTCATCAGCTGTGATTTGAAAAAGTGGAAGTAAAGTCTCTTAAATTTTATCAGCTATAAATTAAAATACAACTGGAATTCAGTGGTAAAAATGAAAATACATGCATTTTTTTTTTGTCCTGCAGCCTCTACACTTGAAAAAGGTCAATATACTCATTTGATGTTCTGAGAATTGCTAATCTGGTAACACCTGCAAACTGGCTCAGCTGGCCCACTGATTTTAACTATCACTAGGAAGTTTGTAATAACCTATAATTAAATCGTTAAAAAGACCCAACTTCATAAAGTCCTAGTTTTGCTTAAAGATTCTTCTTTTTAAAAAAGACACGTGACATGTTAAGACACAAACCTGTTTTGTTTTTGATTTGAATTGCTTTAAGTCTGCTATGTATCCACCTGCTCCATACTTCCCTAGAAAGATATTTTTTCCTGCCACTTACCTTAAGTAAGTGCTGTGCTCCTTATAAAGCCCTTCGTTATTCTCTCCTAGAGCACTGCAGAAGGATCATAGTGCTGCTGAAAATTTCCTTCTTTTTTTTTTTTCCAAGAGCCAAAGCATAGATGTGGTACACTGAGCAGACTTCACCGTTCTTCGTATCTGGATGCAGGATCACTCAGTCTAAACTATACACGCAGTTTACAATCATCAGATGATAGGATGGTGCCTCCAGCCAAAATTATCATGCAATTATTTCAGTCAGAGGCCTCTAACAAAGCCATTCCCTCAAGGCTCAGCCTGTACAGCAATAGTTTATACTATCCCTGTGCATTGTTTTAGTCAGTTCTTCAAAAACTATGCCTCCTCCCAGTTCCTAAATGAAAATGTATTGTGTAAAATGGGGAAATAACCACCCTTTGCAGTGCTATAGGTTCTTACATTTTCTTTACATTCCATTAGTTTCGCTTTGAATCAATGCTGAGGGATCGATCGGTCATGTCCGATTTCATAGTCTGTTGCCTGGTGAGTTAATTTAGTATGTGTTAGACTGATTCTTTGAAAATGGAGGCCACAATAACCTAGACTCAAGTCTTCAGCTAAAAATACAGGCTTTCAATACGGTAACCCTTCCTCGGCTGAGGGAGGATTCAGCCAACCCCCGAGGACTCTGCAGAGTTTATGTCTCCAACCATGAAAGACAAGATCTAGAAGAAGAATGTGAGTTCCTAAAGTAGGATTTTGGGAGAAATCAGGGCCACCAGATCTGAGGCTCTGTTACGAAAAACATTGGCTGTCTAATCCCAGCCAGGTCTAAATGGAATGCTCTAAATTAAATTCCTAAATGCCTAAAGGAAGCAGTATTTTCTTTTTTAATCTTTAGATTCTACAGGTGTGTGACAGTCCTTCGTTTCAGTGTATCCAAAAGGTGCTTCAGCTTAGCGTGCACTTTACACTGACCATGATTCAGAGATTACATGGCAGGGAAGCAGAGCCAGGGTGGGTGGGTGTCCGGCGGTATGGGAAGACATGAGAGAAAATAGAAGCGCAGTGTACTCCTTTGTATGTGGAAGTGAGCGAGAATCTGTGGTGGCTGAGGAAACTTTCTTGTTCTAAGCACCTGTCATAGGAGAAAACACATCTAAAACTGTGGATGCTAACAGGCAGCAGGTAATCGGGTGTATGTCTGCATGTGGGTGAATGTCTGAAATTGAACTCTCAAGCAGAAGGCTGTTACTTGCTAGCTGCAATGAGTACTGGCTGGCTGTAAATTTTGTCAACCCCCATACTAAAGAAAAGCAACACATCCTGAATTCTCCAGTTAATAGAGAGACATGAAACAGACTCACCAACCAGAAGCCTGATCACACATTGCGCTTCTGCTTAGACTATTTAATTTGGGGACAATGGGGGCTTCGGTGCTGGAAATAAGAGGTGGTTCCAAAAATAAGAGTTCCTGAAAAGAAGTTGTTGTCTTGGAAAGAAGAAGGGAGCCTGGAAAGAAGACGGTGAAGATCCAGGTTGGAAGAAAGATCGTGGAAGTGGGAGAAGATCCTGGAGACCAGAAAGCCATCTGGAGATGAATGCAGGGGATGCCCAGGCACGGTGGCCAGTAACGCCCCAGACTGGTTAACCGTGAGCAGCTGCCCTGCAGGAACCTCTACCACTTTCTGCCCGACTCTCCTGCACCAGCAGCGACTCTCCTGCCGGGAAGGAAAGGCAAGAGCTTGTGAACATAGCACTGAGGGTGGGAGGAGAGGGAATGTGAGATAATTAAATGAGGTAAAAGCTCTAATCTTGTCAGTTCTTAAATAAACCCCAGCATCCAAATCCACTATGGGTTGTTTTTTCCTTGCACTAATATATTACCATTCTGCTGTTGAAAACATTAGCTAATGTCTATTTTGCTGCCGATAAGCATTACTAAGCCCTAGACTTGCTCCTTCTGTGGCTACCTTTACAGTAACAGGCCAGTTAACGTCTTTGCAGCCCTCAGAACTGGCACAGCTCACAGCTAAACTCTTAGCCCCCACGTCAGGATGCCCAGAGCCAAGCTGCCCGCTGGCAACTGCCCATGCTCCATGCTGCTCCCTAAACTCTGTAAAGGATAGCAGCACAGTCACTATCACTGGCCGTGCTAATTAATTTAATAGCACGGACAATTATGTTTTAGTTCTCAGATTCATACCATGGCCCTGCTTAGTCTACCCAAAGCTGTATGACCTTCTTGCTGTGAAAGTATTTCTAAATGTATTTTATATATTACCTTTTGTGGCTCAGATGGGTTTGCTTTTGGTGGCACAGCACGCACTTTTTAACTACTATTGGACAGAAGGTGCCAGCTACCGCTAAAATTTTAACCCACCTTTCATCTGAAAGCCAATTTCGTTCCTGAACGGCCTCTTGATCAATGTCATAGATTTTTCCAGGAAAGCCAAGGATCCCTCAAAATTCGGTTCCAGATACTCTGCGATTTCACTACGATGCACATCTGTAACTTCTCCATAAACACTGCTCACCGAATTTCCACTTTGGAAAATCTTCCCATGCCCATGGGAACTAACATTTTTGAACTGAACGCCGGAAAGGTGGGTGTTGGATAGAAGCAGATATATTCTCCAACAGCAAACTGGAGTAAGGCTCTTGAAGGGTTACCAGCTATGCTCTTCCAGTGAAAACCCCTGGATACAAAGAAGTCTTCTTCCTTTGTGATGTTTCACCCACCACAAAAACAACGCTTTTGGAAAGAGAAGAATGGGGCAGGTTCTGATTCATAAATAGCTTAAGGAAGGTTTTGATCCATCATTTGTTAAATAATCCAGTTTCTGATCCAGTCATTTTGCAGATCTATTCTGTTGTTCACTAAGAAATAAGTAGTAGGTAACTGAAGCAGTAATCGCAACAGAGCAGCAGCTAAGTACTTCCATGTTTATTGGCCAGAACTTCTACATAGCTATCCTTTTATACAAACTAACAGAAGTCACTTTTAATGCTGCTTCACAGAAGTTGTAGTTACCAAGCCATTGGCCAACAGTTTTAGAAAATGTTTTCATTTACCTAAGGTTTCACAAATAAGACTGTAGATTAGATTTACATACAGTACATTTTGAAAATATGTATCAAAATTCTTACTGAAGAAATAAATTACAAACAACGGTATAAAAACACTCTAAGCCAACCTTTGTTCAACAAGAGCGTAAGTGGGTGAACTTTACAGAGTTTTATTTTTTGCATTACTCTTACAGTAAGCAAACTATTTAGTTTATACAAAATAAACCTGGAGTTTTATATAGTTAAAAAAATCATCTTTGGCTAAACAAAGTTCTCTCTATATTTATACATATATTTATATATATGTACACATATCAGATATTTTACATGACCATGTAGGAACCTGTACACATACTTACAGTAGATAGAACATAAAAAAAAGTTTCATAATTTACAAAAAAGGAATCCAAGTCAGAATGAAAACAGTAATTTCCCCGCCCCCCCCCACCTTTAAAAATATAAAAGTAAATAAACATGGACAAGGAATAAAAGACTTTGTAGTAAAATACTGCCTGCTTTTGTGAGACAGAGAGAGAGGAAGCACTTAAGTGAAAAGAGGCTGCTTCCCTCAGTGCCTTCAGTGTTGTGTACATTTTGCTCTATAACAATAGTTAAAGAAAAAAATCCAAAATATTAGCTGAGTCTGGGCATAAGCACTGCTCCACAAACTAACAGATTCAGTTAGATATAAATCTCTAATAAGCAAACAACTGTCACAAATGTTTGTTTAGAGCAAGCATGGATAGGTATGCAAATCCTGAACTGAAATCACTGGGCACTGCCCGCGTAGTTCAGATGACACTTGATCCTCAAAAGCAAACATTTTAGAAGCAAGCATACAAGACGGAAGACTGCCAAAGTTGACATCATAACCTATTCAAGTAGTTCTTTCTAACATTTTCCAGAGCACTGTCTAAAATGAGGATGGCACCCTGTTTGGCAGTGTGACAGTCATACTTCCACGGGGCATGCAGACAATACTCCAAAGGTGTCAGTGGCAACATCTTTGATGAATTATCTGATGGTTTCTAGAATCAGAAGTCTATTCTGTTAGTTACTATGTCTTGGGGAGGGGCCAAAACCACTATCCTAAAACTGAAGAAGCGGTCGCTAAATTTTGGAAAAAAAAAGTTTGTGCTCTTAGGTGGAGCTGCTACTCAACCAAAGCGCTAGCTAAGCAGATGTTTTAACTGAATAAAGACCATAGCAATTCTGATCCTCAATAAAGAATAAAAACCTCAAACCCCAACGGATTCATAATACAAGTATGACCTGTGCAACTCCCAGTAAATATTTTAGGGGTTATGAATGAATATTTCTTAAAATAAAAAGCTTTTTAGAAATTTAGGGTAAAGCAGTAAAATATCTATCTATCTATTTTATATATATATATAAAACACACACACACACACATATATATATATATATATATATATTTACTTCTAGTACCTACTAGATAAATTGGAAGCATTTCTAAGTTCTTTTTTAAATAAAACATGTCATGAATTTCTGATGCATCAAATTTGTAAAGATAGATACACTGCTGTCAAAACAAGTCATTTAGGCTTCTGAATATGCTTGCTTTTACAAAAAAGTTTGTCTTTTGGTTAGTAAGCATAAAGTCACATGTTATAGAACTGTAAGGGTCTATTTCCAAACTCCTGAAAAGAAAATGGCTTGCTGATTTTTTTTTTTTTGGGAAACAAAACAGAATGTTCACTATGTAGAAGGCCAGTCAAGTCACTTTAGCTCAGGCTAAGCTCAATAAACTTAAGTGCCTTTTCCAAATGTAATTTGGGGAAGATGAATATCTTATCCCTTTCCAAAGCAAAAACTATTTTTGAAAAAAAAAATTCCTATACATTTTCTTCTGAAAGAAGAGTTAATCAGCTGTGCAAAATTCAACACTAAGTTTGCTTAAATATCATCAAAACTGTAAAATACTTTCAACTACAAGACAGTCCTTGGTAAATGAATGCTCCTTATCACTGCGTTTCGCTATTTAAAAGAATCTGAAAAACTTGTCACTGCGTTAATAACTGGCTTCCCTCTCTCAGAGGCAGGAGTCTCTTTACCTGACTTTAAAAATCTGTAAATTAGGGGTCTAATCGACACCAATTGTTTAGGCACTCTCCATTGTCAATGGAGAGAGATGGGCACCCTCAGAGAGGAATTAATTCATTTCTTTCCACTGAACACTGGAGTAATGAAGAAGTGGCTTAGAGAACATGCTTAAAGTTGAAGGCAAACCCTACATACATTGCTAGATTCCCTCCTCGAAGCAGACTATGAGCAGCTGACAAAGCAGCAAAGACCCACCTATTCCTTACCATCATAATCCAATTACTAGGTAAGCAGCTTTTCAAATTATTGCTATCTTTGCACTGTCCTATTTAAAAGAAGGCCTATCTTCTCAAAGTACCAATTCCCACGTTTCAGCATAACCAAGATGATGTATTTGTAATTTCCTAGGATTATCTACCAACTAGGATTACCCACCAACTACCTTCCAAGAAGTTCTATTTTTTCAATTACCATTCCACATCACCATATACTGTACCTCTGACAAGTTAAGCAAGAGCCATCATTTTCACTAGAGTGCACGCTCATCCATGCTTATAGAATACATTTAACCAACAGAAGATTCACCACCTTAAAATGATACCTCCCCATTTGTATCTGCACATTCTTTCTCAGCTAGTTTGTAGCTTACTCTGTGTTATTCTCTTGCTATCTGAGCCAGAATAAAGCATTTCAGTGGAAACATGGACAGGGAAGTAAACAACTAATTAATAGTGCACTAGATTTACTGAACTAAATTTTCTGACTTGGACACCTCCACTAGTCCCACTATATGAATGCAGTGGTTGTACTCCATCACTGCTGATAACAGCTAAAAACCCTGTAACCACAAAGCAGCTTGGTGGTAAGTTCACTTGCACTTGGATTTCTTGAAAAGCTTCATTAACTGCTTGAATCTTTCTGAAACCTAGAGGATGATTAAAAAAAAAAAAAGGCATATTATTAATACCCTGGCTTTCCGTATCTACCAAGACAGACTGACCTTACAGCATAAGGATTTAAAAACAAAACAAAACAAAAAACATTATTTCATTCCTTTTGTTTGCTTCCATTACATTTTAGGGTGAAAATTTCAGGAGCACAATCAACAGGCTAGTTGGATTTGTGGTTCAAAGGATTTAGGAATTATTCCTACGTCTTTGACATCTGAAATAGTCTCCAAGCTAATTACAGAGAGCCAGAATCAACTGCTGGTTTAACATAGGATTCCTTCCAACAGGAAGGTTTGACAGACAAAAGATGAAGGCTTCAAAAATAGCAGACTTCATTTTTGTCAGGTATAACTGAGAGTAAGATTCAAATGAAAAAAGGCCAAAGACTTATTTTTGCTTTTTATCTTCTCAAAAAGTACACTTTATCTGCTATTTTCTACTGTCTTGTACAACTGTGTCAAGTATTTACAGCTCATTATGGAATAATCTGTCTACTAAGGATTTTACAAAACTTGTCTGTACGTGAGAGTCCAAGATTTTTTTTTTTTTTAAATACAGCTACAGCTTATAATAGTGATCTTGGTCAAGCATAAACTAGTATTTCTTAAAGCTATACACATATAGCTATAGCATATCTACTATTGTATTGCAAATGTCTACGTGAAAAACTACAATAAACAGTGGCATAAATGCACAAACATCACTTTTTGTTTAAATCCCATTCTTCCACCCAAAGAGCTTCTAAGACCCACAAAGATTCTGTCCCATGTACAAAAGTATATGCAAACCTCTGTAAATACTCTACATTAAAATGTGCGTCCTCTGAAGTTTGTTAATTAAAAAGTTGTAGAAGAAAAGAAAATATTTTCATGACAAATTACCTTTCTGCAAAATCTTGAGCTATCTTTTAGAGATAATCCTAATTCTTTTATAATCAATTAAACAGCTGCAAAGACTTTTGGCCTCTCTGAATTACTTTTCCTTTATTTTAATGCTGATTCAAAAATATGAGTTACTGAATTCATATTCAATAATGGATATGAACTCACATTCATAATAACAGTAGTCTTCCCTAGCCTACAATTGAACACAGCAGCTTCAAGGTACTGGATCAGGCAGTTAATCCCTGGACCATAATATGCCCTTAATATATATTTTTAAGAAGCAACAGCTGGGAGAATCTAAAATTTTTCTCTCAAGATCTCCCCATCAAGGCGCCTGAGAACCAAACCACCCCAGACTGGCAGGAGATCTCCAAAGATCTTCTTTGTTCAATTGCAATCAGAAACGTAATAGAGTTGTTATCAAGGATAAGAATCATAATGCCTACCTGATTTGGGCTTTTGTTCAGTCTAGTGGCTAAGGCAACAAAAGTTTTGCTGGAAGGTCCTTTTCTCTGACACTCCAGTAAGATTTCTCGGTCATCGTTTCTGTAGTAAAAATACATTTTATTTTAATGTTAATACATACATATGTGTGCATGCACACAAATAACAAAAAAAACACATACATGCATATATAAAACCCTTAATATTCCCGAATTCCAGAACATGATTTCAAATGGTAGTAATTAACTGATGGAGGACCTTCCCCTCCACTAGCACAGAATAACAGGGTCATCACAGACAAACAACTGGTAGCAAGGATTACGTGATCCTGTTACGAAGGATCATAACATCCTTCATAACAGGATAGGATTACTACAACAGAGTCACCTCAAAAACTCAGGGCAAGATCACTTTAAGCTTCTATAGCAGAAGCTTAAACCTGAATTCAGAAAAACTCCTAAATTCAACAGGGGCCAGCAAGTCTAGGTAGCTACCCATCCATACCCAGACCCGCCTCAGCCTGCATGGCTAGGCAGGCAGCTCTGACCTAAGGCCCACCAAAATTCACAGAATAAACAGAGAGGTGCCTGACTCCTGGAAGCGGCCTCACGTAACAAACATAGTCTGAGCACATCTACTGTTCAAAAGGGAGAAAAGGACTGGGAGCCTATTCATAAATGTGTCACTGATGTGCTCTTTTTCTTGCTCATCAGTTTAGGTATCTGTAAAATGTATTATATAGACTCAATCATTTCATTATAAAGCAGCTACAATGTGCCTTTGGTTGAAACATGGGATATCCCAATAAGTTATATTTATTTAAATTTTCTCTATTTTCAAAAAAAATGTCATGACTAGTTATTTAAAGAAACTCAACAGTTGTTTTAGGCATTAGTTCAAAGATGGACAAAGACTGAGACAGATAATATCTAGTCACATTCCTAAGGGAAGTTGTAGGAAACTCTTCTCATCTCACTGGTTTGCATGTTTTACAGTCTTTTTGCCTGCAGGAGTTGATTTTCTCTAAAATCCTACCTAGAAATTTACCTTCATTCCCAACTACACTTTAGGAAAAAAAAAAGCCTGTCCTGAAAATTTTAGGAACTTCTCTATAAAGCGTTGTGTGGTATGAAGTTGTAGCAAGAACAGCGTAACTACCTAACCGTGGTTTCTCAAGGATTTATTTTATGCCCTCACACCACAATAACTCTGCTCCCACACTATGCAATTACCTCCAGCATCTATAATCACTTCATTTTCCTCCCACATGCTACTGATTAAGCAGTAATTACTGCATACGACGAGTGGTTCCAAACAGTACACAGGCTGAAAGGTTAACTAGTGCATGTGTGCAGACTGAGCAGTGTAAACCCCAAAACAAAAAACTGTTTGCTCTCATGTCGTCTTTCTGAGGGGGAAACCTTTGGCTGCTCTCCTTTACTCAGTCACTTCTAGGCCTTGAAGGAACACGAAAGACTTCCATGCCCTATCAAGTTTGTTTGGAATTTTTGAACAAGATAAGAAAGGGGCAGAGGAGACAAAAATTACAGACGGTGCAATATACTAGACCTTGTTTCCTTAGGATACAAATCTTTAAAAATAAGAACAAAAATACCGTTGCTTTGGGAGATCTAAGTAAGCGAGGAAATTTGTTCTGAGGTATGGAAGTCTTCTTGTTTAAAAGGCAAGTCTGATGTAACCTACCTTGGAATCATTAAAAATCATGCCCTTTCAAAGGCTACGTGCATGATTACGTGAAATGAGTTCATCTCTTAAATCTGTTTTCCACTGGACAAGCCTTATAGAAAAAGGGTAAAATAGACATTGGTGCCTTTCTATGGCACTCTAAGGGGAAAAATCAGTCTCATAAAACCATTCTACAGACATGAAAGGAGGCTCCTATACCACTATTTAAAGATAGATGCAGAGCTTCTGAACAACCAGCCATCCACTAAATTCCCTTTTCCTCCCATTTTTGAACACACCACAGTTTAAACAACAAAAAAATCCAAATCAAATCAGAAATCATTACCTTGTCCAGGAAACTACTACTTCTCCTTTCTTCTTAACGATGTTTTTGGCATACAGACTAGGTGAAGATGCAGATGAAACTGACAGAGAAGAGTCTTTGTTCTGAGGCAACTCATTCTTCTTACTGGAAGATGGTTTGGGTACTGAATTCATCTCTTCGGATATCACATCACGTCCATCATTCCTTTCACCCACTGATTCGCTTTCTTTCCGTTGTCTTTTTGAGTTAGAATTGTCTACTACTGTGTCTTTTTTCCTTTTTTTACTAGTTTTATCATCCATATTTATTTGGCATCCTACAGCAGTATCTGAAGTGGATTTTATTTCAAGATTACCTTCACCTGCCACAATCTCATTAGAAAGCTCTTCTGTTAAGTCTATAAATGCATCAACAGAGCACTCTTCCAGTTCTTCCTTCTTATCACTGATTTCTGAGTTTTCGGCAGGAGTTTCCTGACTCCTATTATCAGCAGGGGATTGTACTGCAAGACATGAATTCTCATTAACAATATCATCTGTTAAGTCTATGTCTGACTCCACGCTGCGTCCAATGGAAAAAGAAGCTTCAGGTCTGAGAGCAATTTCGTTCACGTTTTCAGGTACTTTCAATTCGCGTGTCTGAGAGTGTTCACAGTCTTCATTTGGGCTTTCGGTATCATGGCTATTTTTGTTTGCAGATTTTCTACAGGGCCCAAGCAAACCAGTAGCTTCTTCCTTTCTAGTACTGTTAGGCGACTCCTTCAGAGGCTGAGGTGAGGCACGACTTTGTTCTTGTCCAGGGCTGACGTAATGCAACTCATCAGTCTTCACGAGATCTGGCTTGAGAGTTTCTTGCACAGTGGCTCCCATGACACACTGACTGTCCCTTTCTTTTTCACCACCTCTCATTACTTCATTTTCATTCTTGGTTGAGGATGCCCGTGCCTCCTTCACTAAGGCCATCTGATCAGATGCTTGGGAGGTACATGGCACTGCACGCCTAATCTTTACAATAAAATGGTCATTGGATTTCTCCATGATTACTGCTTGCATTGGTGGGCTGGGGCGACACTGAAAACCGGGAGCAACAGGCCGACTTGTCCATGATGAAGAACAACTTGATCTACTACTTGAGTTATCAGATTCTAAAGCCAAATGGATGTCTTGCTCAGTGGCATCCTCCTCTTCGAGGAGCGCATCTTCACTGTAATGTGCGCTAAGTACACCCTCAGGAGTTGAACCAGAATTATTCTCAGGTTTTAGGAAGCTGAGATGAGCATCTGATTTCAAAGGTGATGGAATAGTTAAAGAAACAGCCAAATCTTCAAGGAGAATAGAAGAAACAAAGGATTTATTCTTCTGTAAACTGCACTCATCTTCTTTGCATGAAGTTGCACTTGTAGGAACCTCAAACATACAGCTTTCATCTAGTACATTTGGATCAACTGACATTTGAAGCCTAGACGATAAAGAGGTAGCTCTTATAGGTGAAACAACAGGCCAGTTAATATCCTCTACTGGTCGAGATGCCACACAAGCATCCTTTGGAGCAGTCTCTTGCATTAATCCAGCATTATTACTTCTGCATTTCTGACTTTCTAAAAGCTGTTTTTCTGGTGTCCTGAATTCCCAATCATGTCTGTCAATATTGCCACCACTTTTTTCCAAGAGATCAGAACCTTGCAACAAACTTTTGAAAATTTCACCCATCTGAGCATCACTCACAAGATTAAATGTAAGACTGGATGCTTGTTGTTCTGTGAGAAGATCATAACTAACATCAGACTTGTTAGCATCTTTGGATAGCTGAAATCCTTCCTTTTCATGTCTTATACCTTTCAATGGAGTGAGAGTGCCTTGTATATTATTCTCCTCAGAGGGCTGCACTTTGGTTTGGGAAATTCTTGTGTTATCAATGGAGTTAAGACATTTTGTAAAGGTAGTTTTTGGTGCATCAGTTTTATTTTTCTCATGGTGACACTTTTTTGGTGGTTGATAATCCACAATTGGCTTAGAAAGGATATATTCTTCAGTCCTTTGAGATCTGGCTTTCAGAGACTTTTTTCGAGATCTTTGAACATCATTTTTGTGACTGATTTTGTGTTTTTGTTTTCCCGTTCTTTCAAACTTCCCTTCCTCGCTCTCATTTCCCACATTTACTGCATCACATAGTTTTACTAAAATTCTCCGTATCTTTTCAAATAAGTAATCAAGCTGCTCTTCTACAAATTTCCATAACTGTTTTTTCCTATCTGATACTTGTTGTTCGAAAAGATGATCCACTATGGCATTCTTTTTAACTTGCTTAAGTTTAGACTCTATAGTATCACAGAGATTCAATTTTAAAGTCTCATTTAATGTAGACATCTTGGAAAAGTTCAAGTATTTTATTAATGACGTGAAATTTATGATGGCAGATTCTATAATTCTGTGAAAATGCTGAACTGGGAAGTGTACCTTGAACTTCATATAATTTTTCCTCACCTGCTTTCGTACAGCTCTTAGCATTTGCATAATTTCTTGTACAGTTGAAGGTTCAACAACAATTTGAACTATTTTTTCAAGACAAGCAATGCTCACGGTTTTATTTTTCTTCATCTCCTTTGAAGATCTGAAAGTCTGGTTTTTATGTCTCTCTCTGTTCTTCTTTGTACTTAATTTCACAGAAATAAACTTTCCATTATCTTCATTGCAACACACAGTTTTGCTCTTTTGATTATGAGGATTGCTGGTCAAATTTCGTTTTTCAGGAGAAGATCTTGGTCCTGATTTTTTTGTATTTTCAGAGGTTCTTTCTGGTTTAGATTTTTCTTCATCATCATCGTCACTACTTATAATTTCTCCTTCTTCTATTTCATCTGAAGAGATGCTCAGCTGGGAATCCATCTCTAGGTGTTTTCCAGACATGCTACCTGGCTTTTGATTTTCTTTATTTACCTCCTTTGACAAATTCTTTGAGGGACAGACGACAATCGTACTTTCAGGAATTAAATCTATAAGAAGAAAACAGTTTGCTAATCATCATAAAGCAAGCAATTATAAACAACCATTTTAAGAAAAACATGGAAGATTCAGTTCCATGAAATGACTGTTTAGAACCGTTTTTTTTAAACTTGCCAACTACAAGTCAGCTAGTTTGAGCTTCAGCTATGACAAGTTTGGGCAGTTCTCTTCAGTAGCTACTAGTTCAATGGAATTTTTCTGGGCTGCACAAGGCAAATGAGGACATAACTTTTCACCAAAAAAACATGATCTACCTCAAGAACTCATCTGCTTAAGAGAGAAAAAAACAAGAGGATTCCATCACTTTTGAACTTCTTTCTATTCACTTCGACAGGTCTTGTTGACACTGCACATCACTCAACTTTAACATCATTATGGATTAACGTCTGCATACAATTGTTTTTCTGTTACAGGTTTTACACTGAAAACAAAACGTGCAGTACAAATCACTTATTAATGTTTGCATTTGACTATCTTTTCCAGAGCTGATAGAAAGGATCTACTTGACTCTTCAAGTCTTTCCACATACGAACTTACTAAACAGAGAGGCCCATTATACTCCACACTGTACACATGACAAACTCCTATTTCACTTTTCGAGGCATTTAAGATTACCAGCACCATAACTAAGCACATAATTTTTTTTCTTATAAATTTTTTGGCCTCCAGTTCGGGTTCCTGAAGGATAGGAACAGGGAATGAGATATGACAAGAAAGGCTAAAGTTTTGTCAAATTTGGTATGCTTTATTCCGTCCCACAAATAAGTTTGTTAAATGTTTTATATATTTGAGATGTCACTAAATATGTATTTAATCATTATTTTAATTCCCAAGCAAATGCCATTTTGTTAAGAAAAATAAGCAACTACAGTTAGCTACAAAACAGCATGTTACAAAAGAAAAGATAAGCTTATTTCCAAGGTACAACAATTCCAATGAAGCGTGTATGTATCGATTAACAAGATTTGTAGCTGTTTAATTTTAGGCTTGCGGGGCACTCTAGTTAATAAAATGCTCCACATGCTCCATCACATGGGAATTAGACCACTTAATGACCTCTAACAAACATTTAATCTCATAAAACAAGAGATTATATCTAAATTCCTTTCCCTAAAAATGAACTTGTGATTATCACTTTAAAGCTATGCTGGAAGATGTTCACTTTATACAGATTGCACAGGATTAAAAACATGTTCCATCACTGTCTCCACTTCAGCTTTACAGGATCAGCAGTATCTTTTCAAACTAATCACTTTGATATTTCAACAAACTGAAGAACAAACTGAAGAACAAACTGAAGAACAAACTGAAGAACAAACTGAAGAACAAACTGAAGAACAAACTGAAGAACAAACTGAAGAACAAACTGAAGAACAAACTGAAGAACAAACTGAAGAACAAACTGAAGAACAAACTGAAGAACAAACTGAAGAACAAACTGAAGAACAAACTGAAGAACAAACTGAAGAACAAACTGAAGAACAAACTGAAGAACAAACTGAAGAACAAACTGAAGAACAAACTGAAGAACAAACTGAACGTAGTTGAAATAAGGTAGTCACATATGTACCCCTGCACTGCAGAATAGTAGAAAGGAGAGTACTGAATTTCAGGGCCAAGAAAAGCCACAGCCTCTTGTCAATTTAATAGATGCAGAACATTTGATAGGCATATCATTAGCTGGATCACAAAGACAACTTGGCATCTAACTCGAAAGATTAAAAATACTGCTTTGTAATACGGTACCAAGCCCCATCCAGGATGGATTCCTCTAATAGGCAACCCAGGGAAACACCACCAAATGAAAAAAACGTTTTTATTTGGCGGTCACCTACTCTGCTCCCAAAGCTCTCATGTCTTCACAAACAAATCACCAGCAATCTCACAAATTTCAAAGAATATAAACTGCTGTAGGAATGATATATAAACTGCTAAAGGAATTCATAGTTAGGAGAAGCTGCCTTAAGCACAGGAGGAGGAATTTCATATTAAACCACACTAAGACTTGCAAAAACACATGAATAAATCCTTTTTTGTCTATTTCTGAGTATAAACGTCCACAGCCTCCCACTCATCTTCCAGTGGGAAATAAAAACTTCCAAGAAAATTTTTTATTAGGACAACAAGAGATTACAAGAAGATTTAAATTCACACAAGTGAAAGATTTAAACATTGGGTTCACCTATTTTCTCTCCCTTTGTGTGCTGTCGCACATTTTATCTCCTTGACATACGGTTTAGGAATTAGATCTTATTTCATTAATGATATAGCCTATTGATCTATGAGTTCTTTTACTTTTACTTCAACCGACTCAAAGTTGTAAAAATTCAATTGAAATTCATTCAACAGGAGAGAAGAGTCATCCATTAGCTGTCATTCACAGAAACCGAGTCTCAAGTATTCTCCTGCTGTCTTGCAAATAAATACTTTTAATTATCTGATCCTAAATGACTTCTACCTCGACAAATGTAGAGAGAAAGATCTAGTGAGACCTAGTCAGAAATTACTACGCTTCAGACAACTATATTTTTAGAAGTCTGTACCTAACTCTTATTTCAATCACTCATCTATCTGTAAGTGGTGACCAACCCCAATTTTGCAAGCAATAATGTTCAGTTGGTGACAATTTTGATAGCATTATTAAATGGATCTAGTTTAAACGAAAGAAAAAAGAGCATTTTGACTTAAATAGCTTAAGAAAAAATGTGTATGTTTGAGAAATCAGTTAAAAGAAAGTCATTTCTGCTCTCTGTGAAAACATACTCTAAGCATTTATGCATGAAACAAATTATGAGAGACATACACAAATACCTTTGTTGTAACTCTTCACAAGACTTTTGCAGGGACTTTCCATCCTAAGTGCTTTAGCCAAAGGACGCATTGGACTGTTCAGTGGGCTGATAGCCTTCGGAATATATCTCAAGTGATTGAGATCAATGCTTAGTATTGAACTGTCATCATCAACAGGAATGCTGTTAGTTTCTCTGTCTTTAGTTCTAGGATACGTCTCACCACTAAGAGAAGATGCTGTCGTAGTGACTTCAGGTAAGTCTGGCTCCAGACTACAGGCATTCCGGTCAACTATTGGTACTTCCTTATCAGTTAATACAGTTCTCTCAGGTGACTGAGATGGATTCATATTAACTTTGCAGATATCCGGTTTCTCAACAGAACACTCAACATTCTCTGCAGCCAAATGATCACTGTCCTTCACTACTTCCATTAAGCAGTCTAGTTTTGTCTCCCTAATGCCGTCAGCAACACCACAGGACTCCAGGTCACCAGAACTTCTGGCCTCTGAGTCATCTACGGCAAGGTTTTGAGAGCTATGTTGGTCCTCTGTGATTTCTACATCCGCAGCTACCCACATTTTATCTTCCTCTTCCTTCTCTGTCCCAGACTGAGGAAGGGCCCTCAGACTTTCACTGGCAGATTCAGATTGCGCCACTTCTACTGCCGGCTCATCACCATCCTGCATCACCCCCACTACCACACGTGAATTTTCACACTGTGCAATGCTCCCTACCACTTCCAGAGGCAAAGCTTCTGGGTGATCCAGATCCACTGCTGCCACTGCTGCTGCTGAGGCTTCAGATTCGACCAAGGCAGGAGCCTCTGCTGCTGCAGACGAAGTTTCAGCCTGCACTTCATCAGGAACCAGTACCTCTGCTGCTCCTGGCAAGGCCTGGGGCTGTAACTGACCCATTACTGCTTCTGGTAAGGTTTCTGAGCTCACATCATCAGCTGCCACTGCAAGCGAGGCTTCAGACTGTGCTGGACCAGCTGCTGCTACTTTCAAGGCTTCAACATCAGAATTCACAGAAGGAGGCATTGCCGGTTCCAGGTTGATCTGAGCTGCGCTGTCCAGAACTTCTAACTGTGAATTAGCTTGCTCTGCAGGACCACAATTAACAAGGTGGGCAGAATCTAGTATTTTTGTCTGCGTTGCAAGCTCTGTACTTCCTTCATCAGCGGCCTTTTGGGAAGGCGTTTCAAGCCCATCAGTTGGAGACAGACATTGTTTTTTAGCAGGAGAAAGAGTTAAATTTAGCTTCTCCATAAAGCTGAGCTTTAAGTCTTTGCTTTTTACCCCAGTTTGATCATCTTTAGTTTTTGGAGGTTTATGGTCCTTTAAACCATCTGCTACTCTGGATGCTTCTTCGGGCTTATGTGACTTGTTTCTCTCACCTTTTGTAATATCTGTACCTTTCTTATAGTCTTTTGCAGATTGGTGAGAAATCTCTTTTGTAACTTTCCTTTCATTCCTAGAATGTCTATTTTCATCCTGACTCTCTCTTTCTCTTTTCCTTTTTTCTTCAGTTCTATGTCTCTCTGATTTGGAATGTGCTGTTTCCCATTCATATCTACTACTACTTTCCTTGGAGCGCGTGTATTTATGCTCTCTACTGCTGGAACTAGAAGGTGAAGACCTTCCTTCTCGAGAAGTATGATCATTTGTTCCTCTTTCTCTCCTGCAGTCAACGTCTCTTCCTTTTCTAGAATCTTCCACACGACACTTACGTGATTCATGTAGGTTCTTTGAATGTTCATTCTTTGAGTGTGGACTACCGACCCTACCAGACCTCCTTGGTTGCTCCTGTAGTTTTTCATTTGGTTTATTTTTTTGTCCAGAGTTTTTTTCATCTTTATCATGTGTTTTAATGTCTTTTTTAGTCACATTTTGTGACCTTTCATCAGCATACAACTCACCTCTTGTCTGAAACCTCTCCTTACCGGTAGCTTGTTTCTCCCAGGAAGAAATACCCCTTTCTGCCCTCCTCTCTACACTCGGACTACACTTCAGTTTCGTGCTCTGACTTTTTTGTTGCAACTCAGTTTTACTAGCCTTCTCTGACAGGGTTTTCAGCTTTTGATGAGGATCTGAATTCCCCTCTTCGCTATCGATATTGTTAGCGGTGCTCTGATGTATTTCTCTTTTGTATTTGTTGACATTTCCCTTGCTATACTGTTCATCACTTTTCATTTCTTTTCTTTCCTTCCTGTTATCCTTGTTGGAACAGTGGTCATAATTTAGTAGACATGCATGAGTACCATCATTGCAGACCTCTTCAGGAGGGTATCTCAGTGAATGTGGACTGCTCCTTTTTCCTGAGTTAGACATCCCATTTTCCATAGTATGGGATGAGTAACTGTGATGTGGATCTTTTGTACAGTCATTTTTCATTCTATGATCCATCTTTATACTGTCACCTAAATCAGAAGGGGGTCTTTTGGCGTCTTTTGTTTTACATATCTCAAAGCACCTTCCATTAGTTGATCCTGGAAGGTATGTTCTGGTGAAGCTACTTCGACGACTGCGCAATTCTGTTAGCCTGTTTATAAAGAGAAATAAAGTCATGTTAGAGTTTACAAATTCATGTAAAGATAACTAAAGCCAAATTATAAAGAACCCTTATCTTTCCAAATATTTGTCGTACTTTCTTCTAGTCTCAAGTTGAAGGAAACGTGGGATAAAATGGAAGTTTAATTATTTCTATTAGCACAGAGAAAAAAAAAATTCTATACATATTTTCCAAATGAAATTCATCTACAGAAAAAATAAATCAGTGGAAAACTGCTGTATTGGGTATAATTATCAATTTTAATAATTCAAATTAGCATTTCACTGACCAGGTATAAAAAGAGCCTTCCCTAGAAACGAAGCTGTTCTATATACTTCAGGGGTTTGAACCGCTAGTGACTTTAAAAATCAGAGCAATTCAATAATTTACTACATCGTAAACTGGCAGCCAAAACAGTAGGAATAACGTGATTGTGCTTAGTTAACCCAAAAAGCAAATAAGCTATTGTGTTTGGAACTTGCTTCAAGCTACAGAAAACAAGCAGTAAATTACGATAATCAAGCCTCATTAAAGCCCAGTGCTACTGCTGCAAGGTCATCATAATAAAAATAAGGACACATGCGGCCTGTATGTGCTGAACTCTTATTCATCAACGATAGGATGCAGCAAAGCTATCTTTTAAAAAAAAAAAAAAAAAAAAGGGGACACTTTTCTGCCATATTCATCAAAGTATTCTATGCACACTACTACCACTAACCTAATCCATAAAGAAACAGAAGTAAAAGTCATGCCAACAAACCATGGAAACAAACTACCAAAAGTATGGCTTCTGTTTTTTCAGAGCCAAGGATGAAGTAGCTCCTATTTTGAGAATGTGATCTTACACGATGTGAACTACTGAACACTGAACTAAAACAATGTTGCTGCTGTTGTTATCCAAAGTCCTTTTCTATATTTCTCTTTAATTTTGAGCTACATGGCCCAAGTTTCGCATTGCTTTAGTCTGGCAATTAAACATGTATTTGTGTATTGTGAATGTAATTATATTCACGTATTTTTGAGATAAGCATTAACAATCCCCCAGATACTATCCTCAGAGATGTGAAAGTGCCAGCTACTTTGTCACAGCCAATCAACTGAAAGAATTGCACGTTCAAAGCTCTTGACATCAATGAGATGACGTCTGGCAATATACTTCTCAATATACTTCTAACCTCTACCACAACAACATCAAATCAACCTTTTTCCTTACAACACTTCTGGTGCAAGAAAACATCAAATGGATGAACTGAAGTACAAACAAACCAGTGACCTGGCTGAGTTCACACAAGTGACAAGCAGGCGATCTAGTGAATATAAGCCAGGGTCCTGGCTTATACAAACTGCTTTGGTTTCAGAGCAGTCAGAAATGCTACAGTCAGCGACTCTACCACTCCTAATTTAATATTATTCTTCAACTTGCAATAAGATTGGTAGTACACAGAACTTACTAAGAATTCTCTACCCGTTGTCCTACACCACTGGAGAGGGAGCTTTCACATCTCATCAAGAAGACGTTGCATTGTCTCTGTATTATTTTCATTTACTGTCTAAAAAGCTCCACGAAACTCATCAGCTTCTGAGACCATAAATTAGACTAGCTCTGAAGCTGAAATATGTATCGGTTTTGATACATGCAAGATGGCTCAACAACCCAAAAAGAATATGCTGTAAAACCAAGTTCAAAAGAGTTGAGGCAAACAGTCACCTTTAGAATTACTCCTTGCTTTCCCAACAAGCAACCAAAGACCTCATCAAGCAAAAAAGATACACACACATTTCTTCTGATTGCACCAGTGTTAGATTATGCAAATAATTATTTAGTAAATAGTGGTTTTCTTCCCTACTTAAAACACATGCAGTTTTCTAACAACTGTACAAACACGACTGGGGAAACAAAAATGTGTAAAGTTCCATTGACGAGTTGTACCTCTGATGGAGGTTACTGATTTCTTCATCCTTACGGTTAATTTCCACTCTTGCTGTTTTGATAAGTGCTGAAATATTCTTTTTAAGAGCTTGGTTTTCATTTTGTAGAATGACATTCTATTTGTAAATGTATACAACAAATAACAGAGAGAGAGAGGGAGAAAATTAGCTTCGGTATTAATCCAGATACACAATGAAAAGCAGTACAAGAGAGTCGTTATTAAAAAAAACTCATTGTCTGTAAATGAACAGTAGGACATACAAAAACAATTTTGGATAAGTCAGAATTAGTAAGATCCAAAGGTGCTGTTCTTTTACTTCACTCAAATTTCTGCTGCTGTTTATATTCCTGGTAATTATTTAGGATTTTTTAATCATACAATTTACCAAAATGGAAATATGTCATAAATCAAGTCACCTTAGAGCTGAAAAACTATAATCCTTCCCTTTGTTTCATTCCTTTACCCAATGTGTTGCTTTCATAGTTTGTGTCAAATATAAGATATAGATTTTTATCACTGGAAGAAATGGAGACTTCTCTGCTAACTATTGATTTGACATGCTTATTTTTAATTAAGGAGATAGAAGATAGTTTTTCATCAACTATTGTCTTACTGCATGCAGCATTAAGAAACAAGTGAATTTATTTACTTATTTTGTCAGTAGGCTATCCTAGCAACTACCCCAGCAGCAACAACTGCTAAGTGCTTTAGAAACCCCCACGCAATAGACTAAGTCTGGAAATAATATGTAATTAGTTCTCTCTCAAAGAAACTTTCAGTTTGCTTTACATAAGTCTTAACAATGTTGTTCTTTGAACCACAGTACCTGTGCCTGTATTTCCTTAAATTTCTTCATCAGCTCTTTGATTTGCTGTTGACATTTTCCATACTCTGTCCGCAACTGTCAAATAGAAAAGGATTCACAGTATAGAAGCGGACTAACTCCACCACAAAATATCCTTCTGGATTTGTAGTTAACTAACACAGTAATTGATATTAAAAAGTTACGTTTTTTTCTAAAAGTACATATATACAGCCATACTAAAACAGAAAACTTCTACAGGCATTAAAGTCACTAAAACGTCACAGGCACCTGTGTAGGACGAAATCTATCTGTGCTTGCACAACAGTAACAGGCTAGAGAGCAACAGGAAGCCATATCACTGTGAAGTTAAAGATAAGATTATTGGGGCTCAGGAAACAAGTCCTCAGTGCTCTACAGATCACAAAATCTCAAAGATTTAATATGAAATTAAAAATGAAACCTTTGACATGAGTCTTTCATTAAAATTGGACAGCTGTAAAACTTTCATGGAAGAATGGACCACCATTTCTGTATTGTCATACTTGATAGACAACTGCTTTCAAATTTTCCAAGTGACATTTTAATCATTTAGTAGATTCCTGGAGGTTTCGCTCCTGCTCTTTCTATAGCACATTTTATCCGTGGACTTTTGCTTTTTACTCCAAATCTCAAGTTTGCAATTAAGATGTGTTTTATGGACGAGGATGCACGATACCACATGAGTAAGTGTTCTGCTCATTTGTTAGAAGCAGTTATCTACTGCATAGTTGTCTTCAGTCTCGAGGACAAAAATTAACGACACACGAGATCAATCCATGGCCCACGTGCGCCCAAGTCTGGTAAAATTCCTTTTGTAAAACGTCAAGATTAGTTTTGCATCAAAAAATTGAACAGACCTTCGACTAGAAAGAAATTACAATAAATTTTCTCATAAAGTAATTGATAAAATTGCACGCAAACGGACATTAAACGAGAACAGACCATGCCAGATTTAGAGAGAAAGATTTACTTACTATGATAAAATTGTTGATATCAGAGTTTCTCAGGACACTCTTGTTTTTACTTCCCGATTCAGAAACAGTTTGCCTTTCCAGTAACGTGAGCATACTGGAAGACATTTTCTGCGCATTATACAAAAAAATTTAGAAAAAAAATTATTTCTGCAGCATTAATACACACCTCATTGTAGGATGCTTCCTTTGCAGTTCCTTCTTCAATTAATATCTCATCAAATAAGTTTAAACTATTTCCAGTGGGTGTAGAACTTGGAGCAGAATTGTCTGTAAAAAGAAAAAAATTACATAAATGAAAAGCTATTTTTCTAGCTAGCTTGCACTGTGCTACTGAGGAAAAGACTTCTAACACACAACCTTACCTGAGGAAACGCCCATTCTCATTCTCAATTTCAACATTTATGTTAGTTTTATTGGAAAAAACACGATCCACTTTACACACACACATAAAAGGTAAGGATGAAAATTTAGAAAAACTATAGATTTATAGGACATCTAAAAACAAAGGTGGGTGCTTTTTGCGACTGACTGATAACACGTTGTTCTAAATCAAAGGAGAGCTAATTCAAGTAAATCTACTTAATTTACAAAGCACAAAAGGGCTACATCTAAGTAGTGGCCTAAGGTTCCATAACTCCAGAGCCAGCAGAGAGCAAAACGCTAGAAGAAATGTATGCATCCTGCAAGCCATTTATCTTGCTACCAGCCTTTGAAACAATTGCAGTTGAAAAACATTATTGAGAAAAAGAATACTCAGATGCCAATGACCTATGCATTCACAAACACAGATCAGCTGATCAAAAATGGGAGAAAAAGAGCTTTTGTAGAGTTGGCATGGGCTTGAACACCATCTGTCTGAAGTGCTTCTTGCGTTGAATACCTGTACTTTGCTCTATTTTATATTCCCTCTCAAATGTAAACTCCTTTGCTTTCGTTCCAAAGAAGTAGAAAAAAAACCCCCAATTCCTCAGTTATCAGTGTTTTCTCTTGACCAACCTGTGTGCTCTGTTCATCAAATACACACTATTTACGGTACCTGATTTATGACACCTCTCAAATACAGATTAATTTACAGAAAACAAATTAAGTTAGCTATCAAAGCTGTGTTTCAAGCCTTGACTGCAGTTTTTGGGTGCTACATAATGCAAAGAATACTAACATAATACAAGAATACATGCAAATAATACCTTATTCACGTTTAGCAACAATCTCAAAGATTTTTTTAAATTATAAAAAAAAGATCCCTGAGAACTAGACTACATAAAGTCATTTGTAATCCATGAAATGTTTGCATCGCATTAAATTGTTCCTTTTTGCGCCTTTTAAATACACTAAACAATGTATTCCTGTATCTGAAATACGGAATCAGAAAATATTCTCGTATGTTGTAACAAATATAAAATGAAAGAGAGAGCAAGGGATGAACAGATGTTTTACATCTGTAGGATCCAGTACAGTCCTTCCATAAACATTCAATGAAAGAATGGCGGAGGTTGGAAGGCATCTCTGCAGATCATCTAGTCCAATCCCCCTGCTCAGCAGAGTCACTTAGAGCAAGTTGCCCAGGACCGTGTCCAGATCGCTTCTGAGTAGCTCCAAGGATGGAGAGTCTACAACCTCCCTGTGCAACCTGTTCCAGTGCTCCGTAGACAGCTTTGTACAGAAACGCTTGTTAAATGTTTGGAACTGCATTTCAGCAAGCTTTACACTAGGACTCCTAAAAAAGAACATGTTCTGGGTCTGTCTCTCTCATATTTTAAGAAAGTAAAAAGCAAATTAATTTACGTGTGTGTGTGAAATTATTGAAAAAGAAACAAAAGGTTAAGAGGACCTACTGAATATACTGTATTACAGTGACAGTATGTTTTGGAGCTCTCATGACAGATTTAGATATCAGTGACTTTTGGATCTGGTCGATGGTATTTAAATGCCATGAGAGAAAAGTGTCTTTCCCACGGTAAAATGTCCTATATCAAGGCACGGTCAAAAGACCTGAAGTTTCCCTGCACCTCTTTATAAACATATGCCCCAAGTCTCTTAAAATAGCCAGTATCACATGAAAAGTATGCTATACAAGTTCAGCTAATAGATTTAAGAATTCTCAGCTGTATTTTTACAACATATAACATATACACCTTGAATTCACACGAGTAGGTCACTAAAGTATATCTTGGCTCAGGTAAACGTACACTTGTAGCTAACTGCCATCTTGCTTGAAACCAGTCTAAAAACCACTGAGACAGTATAATGCTTCAATACAAGCAGCAAGTTACATTCCACCTACCAGGAACTGTTAAACCATTGTCCAAGCCATCATAAATATCCACTGAGCTCTCATCATCTTCCTTAAAGGGAGAAGCTTCAACTAAAGCAAAAAAAAAAAAATTATATATATGTGTGTATATATATATATATTTATTTATTTATTTATTTATTTACACACACACACACACACACACATATATATGTATGAAAACTTTTAGTAAACTCCAATCTCTAGCTCGCCTTCAAACTTTAAAAAGAGCATAAGTATGAACCTACAGGAGTAGTGAAATACAGCTATCATTGCAAATAAAGGAAAGCAGGCACGGCATAGTAAAAGCCAGGGAAACTTTACCCAGTAAACTACTGCTTCTATAAAGAAAAGATCTTTAGTTACCAGAGAGTAAAGATAGGTTTCTAAGATCAGTTCCTACGACTTACAAGAATTGTGCATGAAGGAAATTTTACAGCTTTAAGAACAAGTAAACTTAAATTATAAATTAGCTAAGCCAACCTTACCTGTATTTGAATCTATTTTCTAGAATACGTTAAATCCGGAAGATATAGAATTCCATAAATTTTGATAAAAGAACTATTATGATAAAACCACTACTGTTAGAAGAAACGCTTCTCACTAAGTAACAGAAAATAATATAACAGTCTGTATCATAACTCAAAAAATTGCTATAATATTACCATCTATTCACACACTAACTGATCCTATGAAGTTCCATACTAATCTTCTCAGTCTCTCTATTCCTTTTTTGGACGCCTCTCATCCACCCTATCTGAATCCCTCCAGTTCTGCAAAAAATAGTTACTGTAAAGAAAAATATCAACATGTACAGTCCTTCTGAGGCTGGGACTCTCACGTATGTGTGTGAGATGAAACACCTGCTGAGCAGATAATGTTACAGTACCTCGCTTGCTTGTACTATACCAGATGAAAGTACATTTGGCTCCTATAAATAGGAGATAAAGGACCAAACCTCTTAACGTGTCCCAGTACACGCTTCACTAAGATACAGTTAAAGGTTGAATTATATGCAGTAAAATAAAGGTGAAAGGCCTGTCTCAGGCATCTCCAAAAACATAATGGAAATCGAAAACATTGTTACGATTGCAAATCCAAACTCACTAATGCAATATGGCTTACAAAGATGCTGTGCCACAGCCACACAATTACGGTTGCAGCTTTTTTGTATTTGTCCCAAATTAAATTGTTACCACTTTGTTTTCTAACCAGTCTTTGACCTATTTATTTTCGTTACACTGCAGATGTGTTATTCCACTGCAGAGTAGAAAGTAATCTAACACAACATCTTACCATTGTAACAGTTATCAAATAGTCCCAGTCCATCCTCATCTGTTGCCATGATACAAATTCCCTACGGTTTCCCCATCTGTATGACAAAAATATCAGAGGGAAAGACAATAGGTTAACCGACAATTTCAGAACAACCTCATAAAACAGAAGCATCTTGGCATATGCCAAAGCTACCTGAGGCCTTTGCTCTTTAATAAAACCCAGCAGTGCGTTGAGAAGAATCTTATATCAAGATAACAAACTGAGAGCTCTATTAAGAAAAACAAGAAAGCCTCTGTCCTGTAAATAAGTATTCTGACTTTCAACATAAGGTGTCCAGCTGTATCTTTCACTCACAGGTACCAAACAGGCATCTCAAAGAGAAACCTTTCGATATGCAGATGAGTACTGAATTGTGTTGCCCGATCAACCAAATGCATATGGACCAACTGAACGCATACCTTAACCAATTAAAATAAACCTGATTACATACACAACTTCTTTTTCTGCTGACCATCTTAAGAGCAAGTTTCCACTGCCTGACAACACCACCCAAACTAATAAGGAGCGGTAGGCAGGCAAGAAATACTGCGCCTACCCGAGGACAGAGCGCTGCTCCGCCACAAGACGTACAGTACCTGCCACAACAGCTGTCGCAGAGTGGCTTCACACGTAACGCACGCGCTTGCGGCACTGATTCACCCAACGCCACCCTGTAGCGAGAGCAGCGGGCTGCCCACTGCGCCGGGCAGCGCAAGGAGATGCTCAGATGTCAGCGAAGGCACTGACTGATCCTCCCTAGCACCGCGCAGATGGAGAATTACCGAAGGGCTGCGTGGCCTCGACCCCCCCCACCTCCTCCCCGCACAGGCCGGGGGGGG